CTCCCGCCCCTGCTCGCCTGCGCGCTCGGATCACGCCCTCCTCCGGCTGCGTCCCCGCCATTCCAGCGGCTCCCAGGGCACTCACCGAGGGTGGTGGGCTTTTCCGACATGGAGGCTGAAGGGACGAAGGTCGGGTGGGGGCGGGGCCGGAGAACAACTTTGGGGAAGTCCGAGTACCCCGACCGCGTGCAGAGCTCGGCGAAGTCTACCTCCAGGACCCCGGAGCACTGGTACTCCTCTGCGGGGCCAAGGGCGCAGGGCGGCTTGAGCGAGGCGTGCCATGCCCATGCGCCCGCGCCCCCCACGGCAAGCGCCCAGAGGAGGCCATCAGCTCCAGGGGCGACTCTGTGCTGCCCCCGCCGCCCCCCGGGTGTCCCCACCAACCTGCTATGTCACCTTCCCTGTTGGGACTCCTCGGGTCACAGGGAAAAAGAAATCCCTGCCCTGAGGTGAGCAGAGGTCCTCCAAGGTCCAGCGGAGGAGCAGACCACTTACATCGAGCACACTTGAGTCCCCCTGGTGGTCTCCTGGTTGTGAATTGGGCTGCGACCTCAAGGTTTGTAGTTCGAAACCAGAACCGCCCCGCGGCAAAAAGATGGGGCTTTCTACTCCCATAAATAGTTACAGCCCGGGAAACTCACAGGGGCAGTTCTGCCCTGTCCTGTAGTCACTATGGGTCTGCAGTCGCTGGCAGGTTTCGTTGTTTAATGGACATAAAAGGACCCCTGGTGGCGCTGTGCATGTGTGTGGAGCTGTGGCCAGCAGTTCAAAACCACCAGCCACTGCTAGAGAAAAGCAAGGCTCTCTACTCCCTTGGAGGGTTAGTTTCAGAAACCCATAGGATAATTCTGCCCTGTCCTGTAGGGCCGTCATGAGTCAGAACTGACTGGATGGCAGTGTATTTGGTTTGGTATATCGTACTTAGTCTCCAGCACAGTTCTACATGCTTTGGAAATAGCCATCAATTAAAGAGTTGTACGGAAACTGCCAGAAGCCAGACAGAACCTTTGTATGGCAGAAACCTGTCAGAGGAGGTAAATGTACTCAATTTCCTAAAATGTACTAAAATTTCCACTAAAACCAACGATAGAAAATGTAAGGCGTCAACTAAGTCCACATGAAAGAAGCACACCAGTTTGTGTGACCCAAAGATGACCATTAAAATTTTGAATATGGCGATGGGAAAAGTACTGGAGCTAAATTTATGAACACCCACTTTGTAGAAGGCTATGGCGGACAGTGGAAGACCAAAATCCAGCTACACGGTTTCTGGTCAGAGTCCCAAACAGCCTTGCAGTCAGGCAGAGACCACTGTAACCTTGAATGTGCGCATGGCCTGATGACCTCCCTGTGGACCCGGCTTGAGTTGGTTCCGTGTGCAAAGTCTCTCTAACTTGTTCCAGGACAGAAATGTCTTCCCCTGGCTTTTGAAATGTCGGTGAAGGTCTCTTGTTTCTTACTCATTCTTTGTATTTTGGTCTTTATATTATTATTATTTTATCCACACCACCTTATTTTGAATGTGGTTTTTTTTTTGTTTCTGTTGGGTTTCCCAGTTTGCAGCCCACAGGAGTGGATGCATAGTGAAAATAACAGCTACAGGGGTTGCTGGGGGAGGCAGGGGTGGGAGTGGGTGATGATAAGGAGGGAAGGGGGATTTCTGGAGTGGGAGATGAAGACGGGAGGGGGGAGGGAGCACTAGGACTGTGATTTCCCAACTCATCTTGAAGGCGATTCAACCATGGGGGGTGGGGGTCGTTCTAATAATATTGATATGGTAATGATTGTACAATTCTCCTTGATGTGATTGAACTATTGAAGTGTATGCTATGTAAATGATGTGCCAATAAATCTGTTTAAAAAAAAGAAAGAAAAGGGCAAGCCGGCTCCCTGCGCATGCTCCTGGCTCCCTGCGCATGCTCCTGTCCTGTCTCACGGCTGCCCAATCCAGGGACGAGGCCTCAGTCCTGCTTTGTCCCTCACTACCCCCACCCCCCCCTAATTCTACTTGTCACTAGCTCCCATTATGTCGACCTCGGAAGTATTTCTCCAAGGAGCAGACCCAGTCCCACTCCTCTGCCCTTTCCCTACCGAAACACCCCCCCCCCTCACTACCACTGCCACAGAGTCCCCAGGACCCTGGAAAGAGCCTCATAACCCACCTACCTGCCCGGCGCCCTTCTCCCCACCTTCTACGCAGTTTTCCATACCGTACCCAGTGCTCTGCATGCTCGTTCCGAGTGTGACTGGGTTCGGACCTGTCTCGTCACCCTTCCTGGGAAACGGCCCTTCTCCAGCTCACACTTGCCACCCAAGTAACGGCACCAACCTCTGAGCCAATATGTGACCAAGGTTGGCCAAGCAGAGCTTTTACCCCAAGTTGTTTCACACACCCCACCCCAATCCATACAAAGCAGGTTCCTGCTCCTCTCTGACGAGAGAAAGCTGGCTGGTTTGAACCAAGGCTTCCAAGGAGTTCTTTTTTGCTTAATTAGTTTGAGTTGTCCTTTATACCCTTCCACTGGTTTCCATGGGAGCAGGATTGGGTCATCTTGGTCACCTGTCAGTCTCCCTAAGGCCTGGTAAAGCACAGGCATTAGAAAAATAATTGTTGATTATATGAATGAACGTACTGCCCCCTCTGTGCTCCCATCATTGCCCCCGCCTCCCCCCCCTCACCCCCGCCTTCCTCCCTATACATCTTTTTGAATCATACTGTATCCAAAAGGGGGGAGTGGGGAGCCAGCCAGAGTGTGGGTTCTCTGAGCTCAAATTAAGTTGAAAATATGGATCCACCTTGCTGAGACCCAGCAGCTGCGCTGGGTGCTAGGTGTCGCACTGAGAAGGACATGGGGCACACAGCAGGTGCAGACTGGATGGTTTGGGGGAGGGAGTGGACCAGTGACTTTGCCGTTTACAAGTTAGTTTGTCACCATCACATCTGTTGCTCCTGATCCCAGCCAGCCAGGGCAAGATCCCATCTCTATTTTACAGCAGTCACCCCAGGACACACAGCTAAGGGTGGTGGACGCTTAGAGCACTCAGACCTTGTGCCAGGAGCACGTTCCACCTACTAGCCCCTGTGATCCCTGAGAGCACTCTGGGGTAGTGGGGCCATTTACTGTCCCAATTACAGATCCACGCTCTTAACCACTAGGCCCCCCTGCCTCTTAGGAGAGCAGCGAAGAAACCAAACCCCCACCCTCTCAGTCCAATGCTGGTGCACCCTTCCACGGGAGTCGTTCATCCAGTCTTTCAGCACACGCCCACCCTGTGTCCAAGGAGCCAGTGGGGACGACAATCAGGACTCTGGCAATTGGTGTGGTGGTTAAGCCAAAACAAAAGCAGTGGCCATCCAGCTGGCCTGTTTCATGGTGAAGCCAGGTGCTTCGGAGCACAACTGTCTTCCACGGGGTTTCATGGCTGTGATCTTTCCAAAGGCCACTGCCAGGCCTCTCTTCGGAGGTGCCTCTCAGTAGGTTGAGCCCACCAACCTTTGGTTCATCTCCCAGCACCTGACCATCGGTGCCACCCAGAGACCCCTGCAGAATCCTAGACAACTTCCTGTGGACGTCGGGACTATGGAGAAAATACTCCAGGCTACGGGAGGGCGTGGAGCCCCGGTAGCAAAGTGGGTACTGCTTTGGGCTACTCAACGAAAGGTCAGCAGTTAGAAACCCCCAACTGCCCCCGCTCCTTAGGAGGAAGAGGAGGCTTTCTACTCCCCTAAGGAGTGACAGTCTCAGCAAGCCACGGGGGCAGTTCCCTCCGTCCTAGAGGGTCTCCACGACTCCGTGACAGTGAGTGAGGAGAGGAAGGAGGTCGGGGAAGCCCTGCCTAAAGAGGTGGCATCTGAGCTGAGTGTGCTAAGGAGGAAATCCCGGCACATTAAGATCTGAAAGAGAGCACACTGCAGACAGAAAAGCCAAGACCAGCAAATGCGTTTGGGGTGGGGGAGGGGAGAGAGAGAGGCTTGGCCTATTTGGGGACAAAATAGAGGCCAGGCTGTGGAGTGTGGAGAGATAGGGCTTCCTCCACCCCCACCCCCACCCCCCACAAAAGAACAACCACTATGGGGGCACCTGCTGCAGGACAGACCCTGTGTTGCCACTGGGAGCCCTCTGGAGAGAAAGGCAGGGGCTGCCGGTGGGGTGAGGGGTGAAGGAATGAGAGGGGCGAGTGAAGAGCGTTTCCTGGAGGAGTTGAGAGGCTTGCGAGGCTCCTTGAAGGGGAGATGGGGTTAGTTCGAGGAAGGGGTGGGAAGAGTTCCACACCAAGGGCCCAGCATGGGCAGGGCGTGGAGTTGTGGCTTAGTGGTTATATATTGAGCTGCAAGCCGCATGGTCTGCAGATCGAAACCACCAGTCGCTTCACAGGAGAAAGTCGAGGCTTTCTACTCCTGTAAAAATTACAGACTCAGAAAGCAGTTCTACCCTGTCGTACAAGGTCGCCAGGACTCGGAACAGACTTGATGATGGCAGTGAGTTTGGGTCTTTTGGAAGACAGACGAAGGAAGCTCGTGCCTAGCGTGGGACCCTGGAGCACCCACCCGCCAGGCTGCTGCGGGGCGGCTGCTAACCCCGGGGTGTCTAACATCAGGCGGCGGGCACTGAGGAGTTGCAGGCTTCCGCTGCAGCACTACTGGGGGCCAGAAAGGCCACTATTTCCTTATTTCCGGCCTTGTTCGCCTCGGGCAGTCCCCGCCGCCGCCCGGCTACTAAAGCCCCCGGCCGCCGCCGTACCCGGGTTCTTGGGCTCCTCCTCGCCCAACAGCTGCAGGTTGGTCGCCGGCTTCTCCTTGGTCCCGCGCTCCCCCTTCTTGGTCACCGTGCCGGATGCCTTCTGGGTCCCGGGTCGCGGCGGCCTGGGCGAGGCCGCGCTCGCCTCGCCCGACATGCCGGCGCGGCCCGCAGCGGCGGCGAGACACTAGGGGACTCCGAGGCCTCGCCACAGGAGTGGCTGGATCCGGGCTCTCGGCCCGCGTCGCAACCCCGGACGGCTCCCACCGCGGCGGATTCGGCTCCGCGTCCCTCTCCACGGCAACCGCGCGACGTGCGACGGCCCGGCGGGAAAGGGCGCCGGCAGAGCGCACGCGGGGCCGCCAGGGGGCGCCGCAGGGTCAGAGCGAGGCGCGAAGGGAGGAGCCGGGCGGGGGCGGGGCTAAGGCCGACTCGGTGGACGGGGCGTGGCTAGGTAGGGGAGGGGAGGGGCCACGGGAGACGCAACCCCTGCGTGGTGGATCCAGTCAAGGGACGGGCTGGGGCGACCTGGACTTGGATGAGGCCTTGAATCGTGGAGATCAGCGGACCTAGAAGGGGTCCAGAGAGGAGAGGGCGGGGCTAGACTAGACCACGGTGGACGTAGGGAGCGCGGAAGGGGCGGGACAAGGCTGCGGAGGGAAGATTTGGCAGGGAGGGCTGGCCTCTGAGCAAATCAAAATCATCTGGTTATGTGTCCTGTGGGGAAGGAGTCCCCCCTGTGAAGGTCCCTGCAGTCAGCGGATTCTAGTTCAACTCCCTGCCATCCATCAAGCGGATTCCTACTCACTGCGACCCTATAGCGACTCCGTAGGACAGGTTAGAACTGCCCCAGCAGGTTTCTCAGGCTGCAACTCTTTACTTTAAGCCCTAACTAAGCCCTGTCTTCTGCGGAGCAGCTGGTGGTTGCTGCAAACAGCTGACCTTGCGGATCACAGGCAACAAACGCCAACGCAATGCGGGACCACGATGCCACCAGGGCATATCCAAGGAGAGGGCAGCACCTGGTGGAAACACCAGAGACTCACAGTTGGCCCAGAGGTGGGTTTTCATGTCTCACCTGTTGAGTTCCCAGGCTGGTTGGGGTCTCCATTAACCCCTGATTGAGCTGTTGAGGAGGGTCCTCGGTTAGTGTCAACCCTGTTCTTGTTCTCAGCCAGCCCCACTTGAGCATGTCTCCTCCAGGCCCCTTTCCTGCCTCCTGCCCCCAGCCCCACCCCACTCCTGCCCCCAGCACTCCCGCCCACCTGTGACCCTTTGTGCCTGGCTCCTCTTTGGCCTGTGCTCTGCACTCTTAGGCACACACCATTTGCCCTGCTAGCCACAGACCACAGGGTCACCTACTTTCCAATCACTCAGCCGCCCTGCCTTTTGGAGAACATTTATTGAGCGCCTACTATGAGCCCAGGGGGAACCGATGTTGAGCATAAACCCAGGATTCCTGCCTTTGGGGAGCTCACACTACAGAAAGGTATGGAGGAGGAAGAGTCACGAGGTGTTTGGGGGGAGGAAGAACTTTCCAGAAGTGCCAAGTCCCTATGTCAGGAAGAAGTGTGAGAACTAGGAGAACCTGGAGGCCCGCCCGTGTGACTGGCCTTGGCTTGGCAGTGACAGGGAGCCCATTTCACGGAGAGGCTGGGGAGGCAGATAGGGCCTTTATGGCTGGGCTAACATTTCACTCTGGCCCAAGGGGACCTCAATGAAGATCTGGGGACAGTGTCACCTCGCATTTGCATTTGGAACAGTTCACTGGACGAGATACCAAGTGGGTGGGTGCTGGGAGACCACTTAGGCGGCTATTGCTAGAATGACTGGGCTTGGGCTGCCTCCCCACTCAATGACGAGTACCCTAAGAGAGAACCTGTGGCTGGCACCCCTCTGCAGCCCCATATAGACAGACTGAGTCAGGCAGGCACCCGGCCTGCAGAGTCCCATTTGTGTCTGGGTCACCGGCCTCGTTCATCTCAGCAGTTTATGCCTACAGGTCCTGGAGTTGGGGGAGCAGTGGGCTGACCCAGGGGTGCTGCCGCCCAATGTCTCCCACACTAGAAGCTGGGCTTTCATCCTCTCTGTTCACGTCCTCCACTAAACGTGTTCACATCCGCGGCCTCCGCTCCTCCCCCTGCTCCTGGCACCAGTCCACCAGGCTCTCTCCCCGGTCTTGGGGAACAGAGGGCCGGGGTGCTGACTTCTCCCACACCATCTTGGCTCCTCAACGGTCCTGGCGCCGACGTGGGGGTGATGGGGGATGCCGGACTGGTGGCAAATCATAGTGTCCTGGGATGTGGCTGTTCTTGGGTGAGTCGTAGTGGCCAGGGGGCAGTCCGGGCGGCAAGGGAGGCTGGGATCTCAAAGAGTCTGGGTCTGCAGACAGAGGGAGGGGGTGGGGGGCAGGATGAGGGGGCAGGCTCCTCCCTCCCATCACACTCCTCCCTTCTCCAGTCTCTTCTGTCCAAAGAGAGATGGGTGGTGCCTGGACACAGACCCACTGCCCACTTGGCAGTGTGGCTCTGAGCAAGTGCTTTGGACTGCCTCGGCCACCTGGGCCGGCCTGCTTCATAAGCTGTGAGGACACTTTGTCACAGGCCTGCCACCTTCCTGGGTACCACCTCCAGCTCAGGTGCTGCCTCAAAAGCTTAGCCTGCAGGAATATAGCACAGCTCCAGTTCCCAGGTGAGGAGACGGGCTTCACGGGGCAGCAGGACCGCCCAGCACTGGGGAGGCGTGATGCCAGGCTCCACCCAAAGGCCTCTCTTGCTGCCCCTGCTGGTTCTCTCACCCCCTCTTTCCTCTCACCTTCTACCCTCCCCTCCGCCCCCACCCCCTGGGGGCAGGGAGGCTCACCATGGACTAGTGGGCTGGGCTGTTCGTAGGTGCCGCTGTCTCTCTGGGGCTGGGGCTGTCGCCGTCTCTGGCTGTCCCGGAGCTGAGGTGGCTGCCTGGGAGGAGAGCCTGAGGGGGGCGCTTTCATCTCCACGTAGCTGCTCTCTCGGGGACCCCCTGGCAGGCAGGGGAGGTCCCGGATGGTAGCATAGGGGTTCTCGCTGCTCAGGGAAGCCACACTGGCCCCCAGGCCCTCCTCAGAGATGGGCCCTGTGGACAGAGAGGAGAAGGCAGGTTGGAAGGATGCAGGAGATAACATCCAGTGGGGCCACATCCCTCCCTTCTCTGTTCTCACACTTTTACTGGGGAACTAGCCAAGGCCATTACCATTGCTGTATGTGTAGCTGTAGCTTCGGTCCAAGTGATTGCTACCTGAAAGAGAAATAATAATAATAACCCAGCCCACTGCCATGGAGCTGGTCTGACTCAGAGAGAGCAGGGCTCCTCCCTAGGGGGGGTTCCTGGACCCGTAGTTCTTTACAGGAGCAAAAAGCCTCATCCTTCTCCCAAGAAGGGCCCGGCTGGTGAGTTAGAACTGCTGACCTTGCGCTAGCAGCCCAACACAAAATGCCACCAGGCTCCACTCATCACCATCGAATCAATTCTGAGACCTGGTGACCCTCGAGGTCACTGCAGGGAACAAGGAAGGCCCTCAGCGACATGGACCGGCACCGTGGCCGCAGCACTGCCTGGGCTCAGGCACGGACCCACTGGGAGGCTGGCGCAGGGCCGGGCAGTGTTTCACTCTGCTGTGCGCAGGGCTGCTATGGGTCAGAACCAACTGGATGGCACCTCACACCAACACCAACGGCACTGCCCCAATGGGTTTCTGAGACTGTAACTCTTTACAGGAATAGAAGGTAAATAAAATCTTTCTTCCCTTGGGCGGTTGGTGGGTTAGAACTGCTGACCTGGTGGGTAGCAGCCCAACATGTAACTCACTACGACACCAGGGCTCCTCTGTGCCTCTTTGGCAACTATCATCAAGCCCCCTTCTGCAAGCTCCCCCATCCCTTTAGAACTGCGGCCCAGAAAAAAACCCTTCTCCAGACCTACGGACCCTGGCTGCTGCACTGCCCCGAACCATCCTACCCGGCACCTACCCCTGTCCAGAGACCCTGCTGGGGGCTCCCGGTGGTGCTTCCAGTCAGCAGGCAGGGTGGCATGGTTATCGTGCCCATGGGCTCCTCCTGGCCGCTCAGGGAGGCTGGCAAAGAGCTGAGTGCCTGGAGCCTGGTACAGTGGGGAGGGCACAATGGGGAGCATGCCATGCCAACTGGAGCTGCACCCTCCCTTCCCCCAGCACTGACCTTGTTTGGGGGCGGGCGGCGAGGAGAGCACTGGGACAGGGTGTGGTAGCTGGGGTTGGAGTAGTAGTGACTGTAGCTCGGGGGGACATCTGCAGGAATGACACGAGCCGCCCAAGGGCCCAGGGGCTTTGAGAGCCAGACCAGGTCAGTCGTTGGGCCTCGCTGACCTTCCCCCACTTCCTGCGTCCCGGCTCCACACAGGAGCCCAGGAGTCCCACCTACCCATCCCTGTTCCTCAGATCCAGCAGCTGATTTGGGGGAGGGGGGCGCCCATGGGGGGCCCGACCCCCCCAGTGGGTGTGCTCACACACCTGGCATGACATACTCCGAGCCATCCAGCTGTCCGCTGCTGTAGGCCACGGCCAGGTGTTGGTGTTCCTTGCCTTTCTGCCAGTGGCGGTAGCCGATGAACAGGGCCACAAGTGCCACCACCAGTGACCCCAGCACAGCAATGCCAATCACCGCCCCCAGCGAGTTATAGACCACTGGCGTGGTAGGCATCATCGTGAAGGGCTCCTGGCTGCCTGTGGGCGGGAGGGGCGGTCCCTCAGGGCAGGGTCGGTGTGAGCACAGGGAGGGAGGGAAGGATGGTGCAAGGCAGCCCAGGCCTTGGCCAAGCCCAGGGGAAGGGTCCAGTGCCCTGGCTCTCTGGGGGCCATCAGCCAGATGAGAACTCACCGATCCTGCAGGGGGCACCGCTGTGTCCTGGGGGACACACACAGGCTCCGGTCTCCGGGTGGCACCTCTCCCCGGGCCCACACTGGCACGGCTGGGAGCAGTTGGTGCCAAATACTCCTGGAGGGCAGCCTGGGGGAGGCAGGAGAAGGAGGGCTCAGAGGGACCAAGAGATCCTGTGTCCTGGCTGGGCAGGGGCATAGGGGTCCCCTAGGGTTGGTACCTTCTAGACAGAGGTGCCCAGTCCAGCCTGGAGGGCAGAGACAGCCCCCATCCTGGGGGTGGCAGGTCCCACCGTTGCGACACTGGCAGAGCTGGGCGCAGTTGGACCCCCAGGATCCTGGAGGGCATGCTGCAGGAGAGAAGGGGTTTGTGGGGGGCCGGGACCGGGTAGAGCCAGTCTCTCCTGGGTCTCCTCCTGAGGCCTCCCATCTTTGAAGGGTACAACTCAGTGTTGGTCTGGCCGGGAACACCCGGGCTGCAAATGAGGCCTTACGCTCTATTTTCAGACCTGTCTCTCCCATGAACGACACCCTCGGGCACCCAACTGCCAAGTCCACGTCATTGGCACTGGGCTCTCGAGTGATTGTGCCACTATGGCAGGATCAGGTCCCACTCAGGGTGAGCCTATAGGGTTATGTGTACTGCCCCCAGGGTCCTGAGGCTATAGACACTTACAGAAGCAGACAGCATCAGCTTTCTCTCACAGAGCAGCCAATGAGCTTGAACCTGCAGCTTACAGCCCAGCGCTCAACCCACTGTACCACCAGGGTTCCTTTGGCTCTCTCACACACACTTCACAGAAGCTCGCCCAGCGCCCAAGCACCAAAGGCTTCCACACCACCCCAGTTACACAAGAGAGGCGTGCATGGCTGCCTTCCTGACATGTGTCTCTGGCACCAACAGTCTAACCAGAGGTACCACAGAGTTCTACAGGCAGACACCTCCCAACATCCCTGCCCTCGTGCTTGGTAAAGTGTGTGTGTGTGTGGGGGGGGGGTGGTCAGCAAAAGAGGAGGGCCCTCGATGGGACATAGTGACACAGCGGCTGCAGCAAGGGCTCAGGTACAGGAACCATTGTGAGGAAGGCACAGGGCAGAGCCGTCAACCATGAAACGTGTGTGTGTGTGTGTGTGTGTGTGTGTGTGTGTGTGTGTGTGTGTGTGTCACCCTCTCTCTTCCCCACCTGCTGGTCAGCTTCAACCCAGCCTTTTTCAAAATAACAGCCACTTATTTCCCCTTGCCAAAAATGGACTCCTATGGGGGTTACTCTGGCCCAGGATCTGCAGGTATTGGTGTGGGAAGGAGACCATGCGTAAACGTGAAAATGCAGCACCAGAAACAACAGGGCGGGTCCAAACAGAGCTTCTGCTGTTGGTCCCCTGCCGGCCTGTGGGAGGGCAGAGTGCCCTCCGGTGTGCCTCACTGCTGCCCGGCCAGCACGGAGGGCAGTACCCAGCATGTAGGTGAGGCCCAGGGCGTATGGGGGAGTGGGTCAGCGACTGAGTCCAGGTGGCCCTGGAGGCTTTTGTGGCCAGGAGCAAGGGGACGGGGCCTCCCCCACCCCCACCCCCACCCCCACCCCTGGAAAGGAACCCTGGCACAGCCACCGCACACGTACGCCGGGAGCAGTCGGGGCCTGTCCAACCAGCCAGGCAGTAGCAGGTCCCGTCCGAAGGGTGGCAGGAGGAGTGGTTGGCACACTTGCAGGGCACACAGCGTTTGCCATAGCGGCCCGGCTGACAGGCTGCGGGAAAGGGGCACCTAGTAATGGGCCAGCCCTCCACCAGTCCGTGACCCCCTGACTTCCCAATTCCAGCTGCACTAACTGGCCTGAAGAGGAGGGGCCACAAGGGCAGGGTAAGGAGTGGTTCTCAGCCTTCCTCATGCCACGACCCTTTCACACAGCTCCTCATGGTGTGGTGACCCCCCCAACCATCACATTATTTTCGTTGCTACTTCATCACTGTCATTTTGCTACTGTTATGAATTGGGCGACCCCTGTGAAAGGGTCGCTCGACCCCCAAAGGGGTTGAGGCCCACAGGTTGAGAACTGCTGGGGTCAGGGGTGGTGTGGGGGCACTTCTGGCATGAACGCCGCCCCCTACTGCTGACAGGTGAGAGGGGAGGGCAGGCAGCCTCACGTCTCTGGCAGGAAGGGCCTCGGAAGCCGGGGACACACACACAGTTGCCATTCTCAGGGATGCAGGTGCCCCCGTTCTTGCAGGTGCAGGTGTGGCTGCAGTTGGTCCCCCAGAAGCCCTGAGGGCAAGGCAGGCTGCAGCGGACGCCTGTGGGAGAGACGGGTAAGGGAGCCTGGCCTGGGCCTCCTCCCGACCTTGGGGGCTTCCCTTAGCCACACTTCCTACCAGCTTCTATTTCGGCTCCCCGCCATGGGCACATCAGGCTTGGGGCCCGCATGCCGAGTGCTCACCCGTCCAACCAGCCTGGCACCGGCAGTGTCCGTCAATGGGGTCACAGCCATCAGCATAGTCACAGTCACAGCGGCTGGCACAGCCTTCACCAAACTGCCCCTTCTTGAGGAGGGGCAAAGGGAAGGGCAGGTAGGTCAGCTGGGGCTGCAGTGCTCCTTCCCCACCACACACACTCGGGCAGGCTGGCAGCACTCACCGGGCAAGGCAGCTGGCAGTGGATCCCATGCCACCCAGGAGTACAGGTGCAGGCTCCAGTTTGGGGGCTGCAGGCTGCCCCATGGGCACACTGGCAGCTGACATTGCAACCAAAGCCCCAGGTTCCCGGTGGGCAGGGCACAGAGCAGTTACCACGCTGCCAACCTGGAGAAGGGCCTTGCAGGTGGGCATGGGGAGCCAGCCTCCTCCTGAGCAAGTGCACTCTGGGCAGACTGTGCCATGAGCTGGGGAGGGGATTGGGCCCGTGGTCCCAGCCAAGTGACAAGCATGAGACCCATTCACGGCTGCTCCACCCCCACTGCCATCTAGTCAATGCGGGCTCCAGAGGATGTGCACTTTTGTGGGAGTAGGCTGCTCCTTTGTTCTCCCAGGGTGCAGCTGGTAGGTTTGAACCACCAATCTTGCAGTGAGTAACCCAGTGCTTTTCTCACAGGGCCACCACTCCCGAGGCTAACTGACCACCTGTGCTGTGCCAGTCCCTGGGACAGGCTTATACAAACTCAGAGGCTTACCAAGGCCTCAGACCATCAGTAAGACACAGGACTGGGCATTTGTCAAATTAACTGGAGAGTGAGCCAAACAACCGGAGAGTTGCCAGGTGCTCCCCTGCTACACCCCCAGCCCAGCGGGGTGCTGCCATCAGGCTCTGTAACAACTGTGGGACTGAGGAGGGTTCCCCCTTAGGATGCTTTCTGGCTGGGCCTTTGACCAGTAAGAGTTTTGTGGCTAATGGAAAAACACACACACAAAACAAAGGATATTCCAGGAAGGGTAGCAGCCTGGCCACCTTCGCCTCCCCTGTTTCCTGCCCAGGGGCCCTGCCCTTTCTCCGTAGCACCCCACCTTGCCCTTGGCCCATTACCTTCCTTGCAGACACAGGTGCCATCGATGGGGGAGCAGGAGATGGCGTTTTCGCAGGAGCAGCGTGCAGAGCAGTTGACCCCGAAAGTGTCAGGGGGACACAGGCTATCGCAGTGCTGGCCCTGGGAAGTGGGAGGGTGGGGGGGACGTGAGAGGGACGGGCGCCCGCGCCCTGGCCCCCACCCTCCGCCGGGGGGCGCGCCTCACCGTGTAGCCCGGCGCGCACCGGCAGAGGCCGCTGTCGGCCCGGCAGACGCCGCCGTGCAGGCAGAGGCAGTGGTCCAGG